ACGAGATAACGATACCTGATACTCTACCCATGCCTTTGCGCCTCTGTCGTATCGGTATCGGAAGTGACAATTTACGAAAAAAAAAAAAAATTCTATCGGCGCGTTTTGGCGACGTGCGCGATCAAAAGCGTCGTTCCTGCCACGATTGGTCGTATGCTGACTACGACGTCAGCGAAGGATTTCCCACTGACGGAAATAAGAGGAATGTAAGAACTTTAATCTCGACGAGCATTGGCAGTGTTGCTTTGAGAGCGGAATGATTTCGAGCTTCCACCATGCTCATTACAAACACCATCGAACTTGTTGTTCGCGAGGTAATGACGTCACGAGAGGACACCATAGAAGGGCGCCTCCAAGCACATCTCGCGGCTAATCCTCCAGGAAACAAAAAGAAAAGTAAAATCAGTTCGATGTTTTTCAGCTCGAGTGCACGTGCAGTGGGAACACCTACTCAAGCCATTTGCTCACGTCAGTTACCACCGCCTATCATATCGTGGCACCGTGCCGTGGCATATATGCTTTCGGGAACCGTGTTTGCACATCCAATACGGTACGAAGGGCCCTCGGATACGATCTGCCCAATATGCGAGTCTTCTGCGGTAGGGCACATGCGCAAGCAGTTCGTAACAAAAACTGTTCCCTAAAACTCTCTAGTGATTGGTCTCGCACCGTTTACACCATCGCCTCCATTTTTTCCTCACGTCGCGTAATCCCCCCCCCCTCTATCTCTCACACGCGCACACACGCACACACACACGCACATTCCTTTCTACGTGCATCGCACTTGCTGCGCTATCGAACGCGATCAAAACAACGCCGAAGCCGCTAACAGAGGGAAAGAGCGAAATCCACTCGTCGATGCGCGGCTCGACTTGGCAGTTGCAAGGTCAATGGCGGAAATAGCCGCTTCCTCCTTTTTTTTTTTGTTTTCCTTTTTTGTTTCGCTGCGACGCGCGGCAGCCTAGTATGTATGTAGCGCGCGATGCGTTTGTAGGTCGCTTTGTTAGCACCTACTACGGGTCGACGTCGTCTGCTTTCCGTATTCTGCCGTGCCCCCTCTTCGCGCATGCGCTGCGCGGAGTGATACAAGAGCGTCCCGCTGTGGTTTCCGTGGCAACCGCGTGGCAAGCGTGGGGGACTAGCAGACGACTCTTTGCAGAGACGGGTCGTGATCCGATTACGAGTGAGCGGTCTCGACTCATTAATGCATAAAGGAAACGACGGACGAGACCGAAATGAACTGAACAGCTAACAACAGGACTAGGGAAGGCAGTGGTCGCCCGATCTCGTCTTTCAGGTTTCGCCGGGTTTTTGGCGTTTTCGCGGCGCCGTTCCGTTCTTTTCTTCGCGAACTGGACTCGTTTCCAAGGCGATTTGCATCGAACCCAATTTAGGGCTTTCATTTTGCGTCGCGGGGTTCACGGAGTTATTCGGTTTGTACCGGTGCGCCTGTGTGGGGTGCGCAGCACAGGATTACACAGGGCGACGTCTTTCGAGATGTCGGGTTTCCGTTACTTCGGTGCCTAGGGTTAGGAGTGCACGTGGTGCTTCGAAGCTTTGTGTTTGGGAAGCAGGTGTAGTGGGTGCACGGCGCAGTGCTTCAACGGCGGCGCGAACTTTCTCGTATTTCGGCAGTGGTGCGGGTGGTGCGGCGGGATTTTTGTGTGCATTCTGTTGTGTTTCGGTGGTCTGGCGCGCACGTGCTTGTGTTTGCGTGTATTTGAGGTACGCCACGAAGTCTCACCACGCGTCTCAAAGGTGATGGATTATCTTCAGTGTGCTGATATCTTTTTTTTTTCTCGTGACAAAAATTTTAGGTAGTCTTTTCTATGTCTAGCTGGAAGTAGCTCGACTGCCCCTTTGCTTTAATTGACATATTCCTGGCTATTTAGAAGTAGTAATAATTTTCCAATTTGCCCCGTTTATCTGATAAGTAATTAGTCATTTTGAGTTACATTGCGGTCACTCCGTAATTAGTACTGCTCATATATTGCTGATTACAGTGGACAGGAAAATATTTAGACAATATTCCGCAATACATGTCAGGAGATTATGCTGCTGTGACAAAGTGTCTGAGAGCTCTTTTTATTTGCTTTATAAAGATAATTAACCTCTTTGTGTGTCTGTGTGTGCGCGCGCGCTAAGGCGGGTTCTTACTCTAATTTACGGTCGGACATAAAGTTCTCTGTGATTCAAGGCCTTTCCGAAATTGAATCAGTATGGTGAAAGCTTTACTTTGACAAATGTCCATAGTAGTTGGTGTCGCTTACCGTCCGCCTGGTTCCCCTATCGATCAGACATACGTCCTATGTGACTTTATGCACATGCACAATTTGTATTCCTCAAACCTATTCTGCATGGGTGATTTCAATCTGCCTGGACTCCAGTGGTCCAGCAGTGTACTAGACACACGTCAGTCTTAGACTTGGTTTTCATTAATTCACCTCTCCTTGAAAACTGTTTTGATTACGAGGTCGTTGATGGCATATCGGATCACAAGGCTGTTTTGGTTTCAATCGCTTGTTCTGTTCCGAAAACGCATACTGTTTATTCCATGTTTCACGACTTTAACCGTGCCGACGATGTGTCAATTACTGACGTACTAAGTGATTCCTTTGATAGCTTTGAGCAGCTAAGTTTCTCCAGTGATGTGGATTCTCTGGTTAGTTTTTTTGAACAGATTGTTGAACTCTGTATCCAGCGTTTCGTGCCGACCAAAACTAAGAAAAAAAAAATATTTTCTTCCTTGCTTATCACGAGAAATATTGCATTTATCACGTCGTGTCAATAGACTCCGGCGTGTATGACGTCGTGGGTGATCCAGAGAAGATTACCCAGTTTAACGAAGCGAAGGAGGAACATCGACTAAAACTAATTCTCAGCGAAGGATTTCTATTTTCGAGTTACATTGCAAAATTTAGTGAAAAGCAACCCACGCAAATTTTGGTAATCGATTTTACCCGGTAGTTCTACTTCAGACTCTTTTACAATTCATGACATAGCCAGTAGCGACCGACTAAAAATCGCCACTGCATTTAATATATACTTCCAATCGGTGTTTACAATTGGCAATTTCGAAATTCCTCCTTTCAATAATGATTCACAGTCTACACTTGGTGATGTAACTGTGTGATATGGGTGTGCTAAAAATGGTGTTAAATTTATATACTAAAAAAAGCCCTGGCCCTGAAAATATTCATAATTCATTTCTAGTTCGGTATTCTCTTTGGACTAGTCGGTATCCAGCTATTATTTTTCAGAAATCCCTGTCAACCGCAGCAGTTCCCTCATCATGGAAACTTGCAAAAGTCCTTCCATTGTATAAATCCGGCGACAAACATTCGTTAACTAATTGCAGGCCAATTTCTTTAACATCTCATTTATGCAAGTTATTAGAACACATAATCTACAAACATAGCATGGTGTTCCTTGAAACTAACAACATTTTATGTGATTTTCAACACGGGTTTCGACGTGGTTGCAGCACAATTTCACAACTTTCTGTATTTACTCACAACATCACTCAGTCTCTTGACATCGGCAACCAAGTGGATGCAATATTTATAGACCTGTCTATAGCCTTCGATACCGTTCCTCACTCTAAACTTTTGTACAAACTTAATGTTATACTAAACAACCCTTCCCTCGTTAACTGGATATGAAGTTTTCTTTCTAATCACTCTCAATATGTATGTTTTAACTCCTTCAATTCTGCTATTGTCGATGTGTCATCAGGTGTCCCACAATGCTCTGTCCTTGGTCCGCTTTTTTTCTTGCTCTGCATCAACAATTTACCACGTAACATCGCCACTAAAATGCGTCATTACGCTGACGACTGTGTCCTGTACCACACGATTAATTCCCCTGAAGACCATAACTTCCTTAACAGTTCATTCGCAAGCTTCTGCACCTGGTGTAAGACCTGGCAAATGACCGTAAACTTTCGCAGAACCATTTTAATGTCCTTTTCTAAGCGTATGCTTTCTTCCATGTTTACATATTCATTCATTGGCGACACATTAGAAAGAGTTCCTGAATGCAAAAATCTTGGTCTTCTTTTCTCGCAAGACATGTCTTGGTCAAAACACATCGATTCCACCTGTAACAAAGCACTTAAAAAACTCGGCTATCTTCAACGTACCCTTCGTGTTGCCCCGCAAGAAACCAAACTTCTAACATATAAAGCACTAATACGCCCTATCCTTGAGTACGGTTCAACAATATGGAATCCCTGGAAACAGAGATTTTTCCCCCTCCTCTAACCTTTCTGCTCTAAGTGCTCTTTCCTAGCAGATGTCACACCGAGAGCCATAAAGTCCTTTACGGTCTGGTTAACTTGCCATGTCTCGCCTCATTAGACGCATACATAAGGTTTCACGTAGAGTCATCAACAAGGAGCCACCATGACCTAAACATTTCACCATTTTATGCACACACTGACATGTTTAAATAGTTTTTTTCCCTGGATCAATTGAACATTGGAATCTGCTACTTGGTAACATCCGTTCATTACCTCCAGACAAATTTCTGTGTGCGGTTGACAGCGGTTGATCTTATTTTACAATGTTTTGTTTTTTCTATCTTTTTCAATATTGAATTCTGTGAACTGTAATTTTTCCTCCCACTCCTGCAATAGCCCCGATGGTGCTGGAGTATGTAAAATTAAATAAATAAATAATAATAAAGTGTGATCATAGCTCTAAACAACTATATTATTTTCTTTGTTTATGTTGCAAGTGGGAAAAAAATGTTTTTTCTGAGCTTCCCCAAAAGTAATTTTGCATTGATTATCTCACCCTTGGCATTTAGGATAGTTTGCCTAATTAGGTGTAAATATTGTTACATGCTTGCAGCTGGTGTGAAGTACCAGACTGAGGTTCAAACCCTGTCCACTGGTCTTAGCCTTGGTTAGACTGTTAGCTTTTTAGGGCTGTAAGGCTTTTTTTTTTTTTTTGATGGACCTGCAGTGGCACTGAGTTCCCCTCTGCTTGCTCGTGCAGTTCAGCTGTTGGGTGGATGCCGTCATCTTTGTGTTCAGCCTCGAGAATGAGGCCTCGTTCAGCGCCATCTACAGCTACTACATGCGCATGGCACACTTCCGCAATGCGGCAGATCTCCCCCTCATCCTCGTGGGTACCCAGGGTGAGTCGGCAGTTTCGCAAGTGCTGGGTGACCACTTTGCATGGGGATCGGGTGCTGTTACCTCTGTCTCGAGTTTATGGAGTTGTTCACTCGTGAAAATGTTAACATGAGAACTTTACATCTCATCTGGCCTTGGAGGAATGTTATATTAGCTAAAGTGGTGTGTGTGGCAGTCATTATACTTTTTTCATTAAACATAGAGTTATCAAGAAAAAAAAAATAGTTGATCTTGCAGAAATATGACATAAATTATGTGGAGCAGCCACAGGGAAAACCAGGCATTCAGGGCTCCCCTGTTATCCAGGTAAAGAAGTGCAACATTGTGTAAGCTGAGTGGCATAGGCCCCACATATTGTTCCAATTTATTGGTGCATCATTCTGTATCACTTAAAGGGGGATGAGGACTCATCAAGTTGTCTTAAAGGGATACCTCAACGAAATTTGAGGTATACCGGTCGTGTTCAAAAATAGGTTGAATATGATCCACAATATCCGTAAACGACAATCGCACGTTTGTATTTTGAGCCTGGTGGCTGGCCGCTCTCCGAGCAAGCGCTCGGAAAGCAGCCAGTGGAGAGCACGTGACATCTGCCGCAATCATGATGTGGTTAGTCTTGGGACGAGCAAAGCTGCGGCGAGGCCGGCATCAAGAGGATGTCGAAGTCGTTCCAACCACCCAAGCGGCTGCTTTTGTATGAATTTTGAGTGACGGGTTAATCTTTTATAATCTTGTAGAGGGACGTAGCGACTTCTGGGTCACTTAAAAGAGGTTCTCGGGGAGAGGGAAGTTCCTCCTTCCACCTCTTCTCTCGTGGTGGCCGGAGGCGAGACAAGCGTCGTCACTACCTGCCAATGTTCCTAGACGGTCATTACAAACAAGACGTTAGTGACATCCACCAGGTGCTTTTTGCTAATTGTTTACTTTGTTTTAAAATTGCTTTTCGTGTCTTTGTTAACAGGATATTGGTGTGTCCGATGTGAGACTGCTCCTGTGAACACATATAGACCAAAAAATAAGCGCCGAAATTTCGTTGTAGTATCCCTTTAAAGGGATGGTGAACCGTAATTTGGATTTAAAAAAACAGTGCTGGAGATGTAGGCGGGACGCTACAATCCCTACAACACTACTCGTAAGGCGATATCTCAAATGGATGGCCGTATTTTTGGAAGAAGTAGTCGAGATTGAACCAGGCCGCCGAGGCGCGTGACCGTCGAGATACCTAGTTTCCGCCTCTCTTCGCTTCGCTTCCTCAAGGCCGCGAGGTGGAGAAGACGCGAGGCCATTCCCTCTCCTTCTCGGAGAAACATGACGTCAACATCTCTGTCAAGTGCGCCTCTTTTTTTGAAAAATACGGTCATCCGTTCAAGATACCGCTGTATGATTGATGTTTTGGTGTTTGTAGCATCCCGTTGCACGCTTTTGACGCATGTTTTGGGGAATCCAGATTCCGGTTCAGCATCCCTTTAAAGGGATACTGAACCGAAACTAGCATTTCACAAAACAAACTGCAAAAGCTTTGAACGGGATTCTACGAACTCCAAAACCTCACTCATACATAAATATGTCAAACGTATGGCTGTATTTTCAGAAAAGAAGGGCACGATTAAGTGGGGACTTTGACTTCACAATCCTCCTGGAACAGTTGAGAATGAGAGGAAGCGGCCTCGCTTCTCTCCTCCTCGCTTCGGTTCACCAGCTCGACGGGACGAAGCGAGGAGGAGAGGGAATCAGAATCGTGACATAACTTGTCTTGTTGGCCTCGTCAGCCGTGTTCAGTCGCGCATTTCGTTTCCAAAAAATATGGCCATCCATTTGAGATATTGCTGTACGAGTGGTCTTTTTGGGTTCTGCAGCATCCTGCCTATCACTCCCACTCTGTTTTGTGAGCTCAATATTTTGGTTCATATTAACTCAGACAGCAGCGCACTACTGCAAAAGTACACTCACTCCTTACACACAAGAAAAAAAGGAAAAATTCAAACGAACCGGGCTGGCTGGCAGCTCGTTTTTATATACTTGTCTTCTACGTCTGAAACTACCGATTTTCCCGAATCACGCGCAAAATGGTGTACTAATACAGTTTTCATAATTCCTGACCATGTGTCCAGCTCCAATAATTTTTCTAGTTAATTGATTACTGTGCCTACCTCAAATGGTACAAGGAATTATGAAAACTTTATCAGTACACCATCTTTGAACCTTACAGAAAAAAATAAATTTTTTCTAGGCGTCTAGGAGATTGGTGCGCGTGATTTGGGAAATTCAGTAGTTCCAGACGTAGAAGAAGACAAAGTATATAAAAACGAGTTGTCAGTCAGCGTGGTTCATTTGAATTTTTCCTTTCTTTTTTGTGTGTAAGGAGTGAGTGTACTTTTGCAGCAGTGCGCTGTAGTGTGTGTTAATATGAGCAACTAACTCGCCCAAGCTGCTACGTTAGCAAGATATATTTTGGTTCAGTATCCCTTTGAAGGGCCCCTGAATAGAAAAAAAAGTTTTTTCTAGGCAATCTGGTTGGGACACACGTGTCAAAAAATAAATTTTACGGCAAAAAAAAAAAAATAATTTTAGAGCAATATTGACGGTGTGAGACATAATTTAGTTGGTAATAGTCACCTCCTTTCCACTTGTTTTCTCTCTTGGTATTTCGGGTGCGAGGAGGAGAGGTGGATCGGCTTTGCCTTCACGTTGAGGTGGAATGAGCGAATGACCATCTCGTTGAGCAAATGACCATTCCGTGATGTCATAGACTGCACGCAAAATTTCAAATAAATCGTGCGCTGTCAGTATTACACAAAAATTTTTTTTTTTGCATAGAATTTATATTTTGACACGTGTGTCCCAACCAGACTGTTTAAACAAAAGCTTTTTCCTTTTTAGGGGCTCCTTAAGGGCACATAGATGCACCGTGATGTGCAAAGTGTACATGACACGTCAAGTATGTCGGCTGCTTTCAGTTATTTTTGAGCAGTTGCTAAAGGGCTAATGTTCGGTGACCTATGCTGTAAGCTGTTTGCAGGGAAGATGCAAACTCCCTGATAATTTAGACCTCGAAATGTCATATTTGATCATCAGATTTGCCGTGCACGCTTGGTACGTCCCTTTTGGCATATCGTGGACACCCTTTCACTGCAGCTTTTTGTCTGTCTTCATCTGCAATAGAAAAAAATAATCCGAGTTTGCGGTAGAAGCCTATAGTTGAAACAGCATAGTGCTGCGTCTTTTCACAGTTAGTTGCATCACATCCCGGTTTTGCAAGCGTGAGAGTACCTTGTTTGGGGGCGGAAATCTGTATGCCGTTACAAGTACCCTCATTTTGATTTGTGCATGCCTAATTCCTCGTGCCTGGGTGCGACGCAGACGCCATCAGCGAGAGCAATCCACGGGTGATCGACGACCTCAGGGCTCGCAAGCTGGCAAGCGATCTGAAGAGGTGTTCTTACTACGAGACTGCCGCCACTTACGGACTTAACGTCGAGAGGGTCTTCCAGGACGGTGGGTGGAACCCCTTTTCTCTCTTTTTTGCGACAGTGGGCTTATTCTTCGAACACTCCTTTGGTCAACATACTTAGATCCATCCGTTGACAAGCTACTGGGAAGAGCGGTGTTCAAAAATGGTTCTCCTCGGTTGCCTGCACGTGAGCAGGTACGAGTGTGCAGCATTTTTAGTGCCACTGGCGGCAACACCTCCACGGGCAACAGAGGAGGACCGTTTTCGAACAATGCCCCTTGCGCAAACTTAACGTCAACCGTAAAAACCTTGATAGAATGAATTTCTACCGCGTGTAACGTGCATCTAATGTTCCATTGGTTCCGTCGGGTCTGTCCGTTGGGTAGGCCGATGGCGTTGCTAGCTCCTAGGAGCGGATGCACCATTAAAAAGGCGCCAGGCATTCCTGCAAGCTCTTCAACTGACTCTGATACGGTAGCATTGCCCGAGGCAGTAAGGCTGTAGTGTCGAGGCTTCCGCCTCGCTTGCAAGGGGCCAACGTGAGGCACAGATTGGACGGAGTACTGCGTCGGCGTTTGGCTGGGACTCGTATCCTCGCCGACGCAGTTCTTGTGTCTGCGTCGCTTGACGATGGAGACACGAGCTGCGTTGCAACGGCGCTGCATTGTCCCGGAACGTTGTTGCAGCTGCTTGTATGAGCATGCGAGAATGAGACACGAGGCGAAACCACAATCTCGCGTGGTAGTGCGGAGCCGCGGCACCGTGGAAGTTTCGCTGGCTTTGACAATGTAGCGCTAAATAGTTTGTGCCAAGCATCGTAATGCTTTGCGAGGGAACTGTAATGGCATCTTTGGTCTTCGCGCATTGTTAGGGTTTCAGTCTCAAATGGGTTGCGTGCTTGGGACAAATGTCCATGGCATCTTTCAATTCATATTACATCTTTTTTTTTAATATTGAAAAGGTCAGGCTAGCAATTACCTTTGCTTCAATGATTGGACCACTTTGTTGTCTACTACAACAATCCGAGTTGGCTTCAGCATATTTTTTGTTTGTTTTTCCTTTATGAGTTTTATTGTTTTTTTTTTTTTCAATTGCAGTCCAGTTTTCATTAAATTAGGAGAGACATTATTCAGTGCAAAGCTTTATATGAGTTTGGTGGTTCAGGTGCATGGTTTCGTCTTTTTTTTCAAAATGCAGAGGACAGTTAATTTAAATAAAAATATCTTTTTTTTCTATAATGTTTTTGCTAGTAATCTTCCATCTACATTCCTTCCTTGTATAGGTTTATAAGTAGGATTGCATGTTTTCTGAGTGTATTTTTTTTGCAAAATTCTAAAAGTGTTTTTTGGGGTTAATTCTTTGCTGGAAATTCGGGGTTTATTGGAGTTTTATTTTTTGTTAGACTTAAAATTATCCGAGATTGAAAGTTTACTTTTACTCTGTTCTTATTTCTGTTTTTCAAACAAAAAAATAATGTCTGGGCAAAAACACACTAATTTTATAAAACAAATAATAGGTATCCAGTCATGTTCTTTTGTATTTGCATTCGGCATTGGTGCCCTTACAGTTGGCAGTACTCAGTGTCCCATGACAAATGTTCAAAACAAGTGTTAATTCAATAAATGTCAGCACTATCTAGTTCGAACGAAATGCGAATACTGGAGCGCGTAGCCGTCGACACATGCTGTGCTTCCTGGAGGCCTCGGGAAACTGATAAAATTCCGGGCTGGAGAGTAGGGCAATCTGTTTGACCCTCTCCCAGCACTACCAAGCTTTGATGCTGCGTCGGTGGTGAACTTAAAGTTCTGTTGCTGTTCGCTTTTCTTTGATCCTGATGGTACTTTTAGATAGCCAAACTTCTGGATGCATAAAACCTTTCGCTGCCCTCAGCAGAAATAGTATGGTCCAAAGTGAAAATCGGAACCGTGGCTTTTGTCCAGTGGCTATGCCAGTGCTTTTGTCATGGTCCAAATTCCAGAAGTACATTGGCCCATTTTACTGAACAATCCTTGACAAGATAAACAGAAAACTCCCCTTTGTCAATAAACAAACAAAAATTTCTTTTTTTTTTTTGAGGTTATTAACCTTGTGCTTTGCAAACCTTTTTAAAAAAAAATACCATATTTTTTGGCTTTTTGTTTTGCCGTTGTAACCTCGAAATAGTTTTTCGGTAATTGACGAAAATTTTACCGGCAAGTGTTTTTTGGAGTCTGTCGGATATATCCGAAAACATGGAACCCTATTTATAAGGTGTTGGGAAAATACAGACTTGCTTGCTTCTGATAAAGGTGTCATAAATAGAGTTTCTGGTTTCCATTATTTATTGAAAATGGCAAATACTATTCTTATTCTGCCTGATTGGTGGGAGAAACCAATATAGGTCCGAAACATTCTGTAAGCATTATTGCGCATTGTCTTTAGCTTTATTCCCGCTCGTCTTATGTACTTTCGAGTAATTTAGGACAAAGCTTACCTTTCTAACTATTTGTGACTGAACGAAATCATCTAAACCAAATGATCCCTAGTAGATATTTTATTTTCTAACTTCCGCATCTCCCTCTGTTTATGCGCAGCAGTTTGCCTCTCCACGCAATTATTTTACCGATTCTACGTGCTGGCACCATGCTCGTGTGGGACAGGTCCCTATATATCCCTTTTTTTTTGTGAAGTGAGTGCTAATTTATGCACCAAATTCTATAACAAATGAATGCAGAAAACCAAAGCTTACATACTAAGATGAGAAAAGCAAAACATCGAAAGAGGGTGTAGAAGCAGTATTTCGAGTGAAAATATGTGACAGTAGCAAACGTCTGCGCAGCCTGCCAGAGGATAGTGCAGCTGCGCATGGCGTCTTCCCTGACCCCGACCAACTCGCGCCCGGGAACCCCTGTGGGAGGTGCCGGTGCTGCCTTGCGGCCATCTCTGGGCCACTTGGGCGCGTCCAACAACGGTTACGCATCGACCGGACAGCACGGGAGGGAGGCACAGTCCCAACAGCAGCAGCAGGCTTCCGCGCAGTCAACGGCCAATGCGACGGCCGCGCTCATCAACAGCTACAACTCGCTGCACGGGGCCACTGGCGTTGGTGGGAACTTCAACCAGGCTTCGCTCAAGGTGGGCAGCTTCTTCCAACGGCTTTGGAGGCTAAAGGCTTCCAACAGCCTTGGACGCTGCTTTTTCGGGAGAGCTTGATCGAAACAGCCGGCATGTCGACGAGAATCTTCGTTTTGTGTGAGCCCTTGGAGGCTAAAAAAAGGGGCAAAACTAAATTCTTGTGCAACAGAAACGAAGCAGGCTTGCCTGGGCTTCAGCATTCCGGTTTGTTTCACAATAGATATCAATGTTCTGTAGCTCATTATTTACTTGTTTTTTTGCAAGTTCTTTTTTTTTTTTTTTTTTTTACAAGAGTCACGATTATACAGGGTGTTTCTTTTTAAGCTTAACCCCTTGCCTACTCATTTTTTTTTCTTTAAAGAAGTACAGAAAGCTTTATTTAAATCAAGCAATTTGCGTCAAAATAAAGAAAAACGTTTCCTTGGCTTTCAGGCGTAGTCTCGTGCTCTATACCAGGACTTCTGGTCGTCTCCTCTTCTTCAGTAGTTCTTCACAGTATGATAGAAATCGAGAGATTAGCAGAAGCCTCACATAGGACATCGTTTTGCCGAAAATTGGGGTCTCCACTATGGACCTCTTGGACCAGTTCATTTTGACTGTGTGTTTTTTCATTTGCGTCATAATGATGCACAAGGCAAAGTATGCCTTTATCTCATCCGGAGTGGTGTCAAACCATTGCTCCTCATAGCATTTCTTGGGACGATCCTCGTTGCCCATCTCTTGTTCGGCGTAGCGATTTGTCTCAGCAGAGACTGACGCCCAAATATCATGACTTGCAAACACGGAAAAGGTCGACAAGGCGCTTGTCTTCTCACCAAGACTGCGTTGAACCCTTGCTGACACACCTGGGGTTTCTACAAAGGTGAACTGAGCAGGCTGGTTGTCCCTCTTCTCCCAGTTCCACTGACGTGCAGACGCCGAAGTCGATGAAATGCTTCCAGGATTCGCATCGTTTTTAACACTTTTCTCACTGTCCGTTGAACTCTCATCGGATTCCGAGTAATCGGAAAGGCAGCAGGATTCGTCGTCAGAAATACTGGCGCATTCATCACTTTCAAAAAGAAGTCTTTGTATATCTTCGTCCGCCAAAGCAGACCTCCGCGCCGGAGACATGTTTTTGGCGCGCTTGCTTACAATAGCGCGCTTATTTTTTGTCAATGGAGCGCCCTCTCTCTGTCAAAAGGCAAAGCAAACAAGAAAGGAACCCAAGGTAAACAGGAGCAACAGGGGTAGTGCTGCCATCTGCCGCAGAGCTCACAAAACAAGCTCTGAAACCGAAACACGAGTTAGACTCGTGGTCGGGTTTTATGGTCCGTAAATGGCGGCACGAGTGACACTCGTTATTAGTAGGCAAGGGGTTAATAGATTTGTCTAAACGAAAGCCGGGAAAGGGGCTACGCTAATGCGGATTGCGCAGGTGAGTTGCACGACCAGGGGGACATAGTATAGGAAGCTAATATTGACGATCAGACGGCTGATTAACTAAAATATTGTTAATTAATGTTTTAATTACTGAAAATAAATGCGGTACTAATTAGGAACTTGCTGAGCATCATCGAATACCACTAAATCAGTCAATATTAGGAAGATTTGGAGAACGTGGGAAGCAACGTGGAACACTGAAGTTACTACCCGTGCAGCGGGAGCAAGGCTGCCACTGGTGCTATGGCACGCTTGCACGGTTTTTCCATATCATATCATAGAAGTTTTTTTGCCCCAGCCTTGTGCCTGTTGCATGAGTGGTAATTTTAGTGCACTACTGCGCTTCATATGCACTCAGTCTTACTAAGAATTACAGACTTTGTGGCTTTAGATGGTGCTTAACAAGTTTCTAAATGGAACCATATGTTTATTTTCACAATTAAAAAGTTAATCGACACATTTTAGTTAAATATTCTACTTTTTGTGACGATTTGCCGCCTATACTATGTCCCCTGGCCGTATAACTTGCCCGCACAAGCCACATTAGTGTAACTTTAACTTTTTGTTTTAAACAAATCTGTCAAGCTTAAAAAGAAATACCCTGTATATAAATTCCTTCTTTATAGTTTGGGTTTCACAATTTAATTGTCTCTAAACGAGTTTACGACCTTGCTAGCTGATGTCCAGAGCAGACTCTGCTCATTTGTTAGACGTGAAACGAGAATCCATATCTGTTTACACGCTAACTTATAAAAAAAAAAAAAAAGAAATCTTTGTTTATATCTTGCCCTCAAAGCAATTCTCCAAGTGTATGTGGCATCATTGCGGTCATCATTATTCAAAAGAGAGAGAAGCTGGATTACCTCGCTCCAATGGATTACCTCTTAGATCAGACAGCTTGAGCTAAAACAAATAAAAACAATGCTTGCCAAAAAAAAAAGAAATTGTTTTTCTTTTACCAAATAGATATTTAGTACCCACAGTGGTGTTTCCTCACAGGCATGCTAGCCAGCTCCGCCATTACCAGCTTCTGTTTCATGGTCTTTTTCATGGAATGAACAACAAAATTGTTACATAAAGTCGTGGCAAAAAATGACCTCCACCAACCAGAAAGTGAAGTTAGGTAGGGTTCCGCGTTTCTGCTGTGTATTTCTTTTTGGGGGGCCTATTTCTTTCCAAGAGATTCTTCGTTTTTCGGTCTCTATTTTGGCTGCTGGACAAAAAGGATCGACATTCGTTGGGGCTTACGTCGGTCGAGGACGAAAAGGTGCAGGCACGGGATTCTCCAGCCATGAAAAAAGATGCGCAATACCCACTTACACTCGGAAAACGCCCCGGTTCTAAAGAAAGAAGCAGGCTTTGGACAGTTCTGTGGGAGTGCATTCCGAACCGACAGAAAGCGAAGCTGAAGATAAAAACTAGTTCCCGTAAAGCTTGGGTTTTTCTTAGTCGAGACTGGGGGCTTCTCAGTTTGACTTGATTTTGACAAACAAACTCGGAGGTTACTTTTTTGGGGGTTTATCGATACACCGTAAACAACTAGAGTTTCGTGAGGACATAGTTTGCTTGAATGTTGCGACTTAAAATACGTCTTTATGACGAATCGCTCTCGCAAATACGTCGTCCTACGACAACAAATACGTAGCACGTCACTCCAAATCGCAAACTTTCGGTGCCCGTGAAATATTCCTGAAACCCTCGCCTCTGAAACTCTGCCAAATATTGAGAACCTTGCGAATAAAGATTACGGCATGCCGAAAACGAGGTACCCCGGTTCCAGGCGAGTTGCGCATGTGCAGGAGACGCACCTGCGGGAGATCCGCGACTGCCTTTCTGCCACCACCACCTCGGTGCAGCGGGAGATCCAGAAGCTGGAGAAGGCCGACCGGACCACCGCCGCCACGCCGGCAGTTGAAGGGGCCGGCGGGACGGGCCAGGCCGGCCCAGCCGCGGGCAACAACAACAACAACGGCAGGGACCGCCCGGAGTTTGTGACGCCCTGCTCCACCCCGACGACTGCGCGGAAGACGCGGCGGAGATCCAACCTCTTCACGGTGGGGAACCTGCTGCGCTGCTTGGGGTCTGCACGTGCTGTGCCCCGACATCGGCGATTTTCGCAGCATGTCTTTGAGCCTTTGGACTGCCATGCGCTGCGAAAACCCGATTACCTCAAGAAAGCTGGCGAACGAACCTGCCTTAACGGCCTTCTGTTCTAGCTGCTAGGTGCCGTCGATTTTGCGGAAGCCGCCAATGGCGTAAAATCGATAATGAATGCCTGCCTATGGTAGAGACTCCAAAGAAAATAATACGAAGTTGACCATGTGTTGGGGGCGAGCGTTTGTTTCGAATTTTACGGTATTTTTATTTGGTATATCTGTGGTATATTTTTAAAACTTTAACTTGGGTTAAATTAGCAAAGTATCGCGCTTACAAGAAAAAAAAATTATTTACAGAAAGTTAGTTTGGCTTACCTGCTCCTCCTGCTCCGACTACACTCATTGAAGACTGCCATACTAAGTATGAGAGTTTAGCCTGTCTTACATGCCGGAGGTGCACTGCCCCACACTTCTCTGCACCAGAGCAGGCTGGTATAGGTCAATTGAATGAGCCCAGTATTTTCCAGTAAGTAAATCATTGGGAAGCAATTGAAGGGAAATTGAAGCGGTTCTGTATTTGAGTAGAAACACTTCAATCGTCTTCATTTGACCGCCTCCAGGATCACGATTATCGAGAAAAAGTTTTAATTTGGTACACGGAGGCGTTAGAAAATCACTTTCAAAGTACCGCTGAAGCCCCCCTCTCCTTCCTGGAGTGTTATGTCATAAAAGGTGTTTTCGGAATCTCCACTCTCGTGCATCTTTAGCGCTTCTGAAAGCTATGCGTGCGCTCCTGCTATTTTCAAGAAGGTCAGAAAAAGATGTCGCGACTGGTGTCAGTGAAGGGGAATACACCTGGCAAGCTTGCGATTGCGCAAACTGCCAATACGAGCGGCACATGCTTGGCGGCCAAAAGATCCTTTTATGACTTAACGTCTGGTCAGAGGTTTTTCGTTCTTTTCTCATGTTTAGTTACATCTTTGGGGAAAACAAACGTGATATTCTGACTCGCAGGATAAGAATGCTGTATATTTCACTTCCAACTCGTTTTTTTCAAGAACCTCTTCAACTTCCCTTTAAAGGACACATGCAAAGGAAAAAAACATTTTTTTTAAACGGCTTAGATGGAAAAAGAACGCCATAAAACGATTTTACAACGAAGAAAAAAATTTTTTAGAGCTATATTTACGGCGCAAAACGAATTTGTAGTTGGCGTCCGCGGGCACCGCGGAAAAGTGGTCTGTATTTATCACGTGACTGGTCTTTATTTATCACGTGGTGCTTGCATTCTTTCGGAAGCTTCCTATGGCCTCTAAATGTAACTTATTCATCTTTGTTTGAAGTATAACAAAAAACTAAGATGAATAAGTATCTTTTAAAGCCCAAAGGAAACTACTGAAAAAGCGCAAGCAGACGTGATAGACCTGTGCGCCGGCCAGACGACGGCGGCGGCGCCCCGAAGCAGACGAACTTGTGCGGCGGCGGCGACGGCGGCGTGGAGAAACGCGTTGAAGCGGCATTCGCAGAACGCTCAGCGTGCGGCGGCGACGCAGCGCGGCGGCGCGCGGGCCTACCACGTGACCAGCGGCGGCTCCCGCGAGCGCCAACTACAAATTCGTATAGCGCCGTAAATACAGCTCTAAAAAATTTTTTTTCTTCGTTGTAAAATCGTTTTATGACATCCTTTTTCCATCTAAGCTGTCTAAAAAAAATGTTTTTTTCCTTTGCATGTGTCCTTTAAGAATATATGCGGTTCATGAACAGCCTTTACTTTCTCATGAAATTTGACTTCCATAAAAAATTAAAAAAAAGAAAAAAGGTCTCTTGCAAAGTTAGCAAAATATTTCATCCACAAAATTAAAATCGTTAGCCAAAATTTAGTGGTAATGGTTTAATTGATTTGAAATATGTAGCTTGTCTCGGACACTATTTGTTAGCCATAATAACTGTACAAATCGAGCTGCTTAAAAGTTTCCAGGAAATATTTGTCATTGGTAACCCCGCGCACATACATAGAGTGTCCCACCCTGCTTTGCTACGTGGATGAGTTAAGTGCAATTACGAGCCAAACATAGATCTGACCTTTCTGGCATGTATCTTTTTCTTTTTGCCCGACACAGCCGTTGAAGAAAGCGGACGAAGAAAAGCGGCAGAAAAATGGCGAGATGGGCAGTGGTCGGGTGATCCCTGTGAGGCAGGCACGTGGTCTTCTGCTTCATACCTTTCTCCTTTTATCTCCTGCTTTGGAACACTGGGTTAAATTGTCACTCCATGTTACACTGCATTACCCAGATGTTGGCACCGAATGAGGTTGTGATGTGGAATCAGTAGGTTTGCAAAGATGAGTAGAAATTAACGGGATAGCAGTTGTCCTGTTTATTTCAACTCACTGTCATTCTTTGGGCCGTATATCTGTGCGTCGTGATGTTTATCCAACTGTTCAGATACACAAAATTCTTCTAGAAAATGAGATTGAAATATTTTATGAGGGCCGGTCTGTGTGTTTGGAGCCTAGTGCACAATGTCAGCTCTCCTAATACCCCAGCATTAAGGCCCGTTCACACACTTGCAACTCCTTAGAACCGTGTGCCTTGAAGCCTCTTAAAATATCCTAAAACAAGAGAACACACTGGCATGCTGGCACCATCTATGCGGTGACACTGGAACTGCATTTCACCAGAGCGAAGGTTTTGCGGGATTTCCGAGGTCAAATGTGCGTAATACCTATGAGAAGCGGTTGTTTATGACGTCGACAAAATTTTTTCGAGTCAAGAAAGAAAGGATGCGTGGGAGAAGTAGAAAATATGCAGGACCGCCAAGTTTTCACTATTACCCAATAGATGGCACCAGCGTATCCTCTCATCGTAAGAGATATTAAGAGGTTCCAAGGCACTTGGTCTTAAGAAGTTGCAAGTGTCTGAACGGCCCATTGTCTTCATCACACTAACAGTAATCTTTCCAGAGGCTTTTTATTGAAAAGTAGGATACTGATAAAACTGTTATCAATATTTATTGTGAAATATGCACAGAGTGAAACACAAACATCACGAACGAGCCATTGCCGGCATTTTTTAGTTTTCTTGCACAGCTGGGTGTCTGTGTTCAGAAATATAGCTTTCATACAATGTCTTAAATGGGGCACTAACCTTAGCAATAAAATTTTGTGTTTGAAACTAATATGAAAAGTGGTTTTTGAGGTTACTCAACACTTATGTTAGTATTGTGCTTGATAGATGAGTAGGTGGTTGTTGTTGGTATGTTTTGTATATGCAGTTTCCTCTAATCTTTTTCACTAATTAAACTTTAGTTGCGAATACAGCTTCGTCCTGTTGTGTTTGTTCCTTCTTGTCGTCTTCGCTTTTGAGCTGTTTTTCGCTATGAATAACATATTTGATTAAAACGCCATAAAACATGAAGCCGATGTAAAAAAACTGAATTGCCAGAAAGCCCAATATCACCTTTGCGTGAACCGTGCCAAGCTGCATACATTTTGTTGTATCGAAACGCTGAAAGAAATTTCCACCAGGCAGCTGTGCCCACAGCCAGCCCACGTGCAGTTCACCCACAAAGAGCCATCTTTCCCCACCCAATGCAGGGTTACCTGTACAAGAAGAGCATCAAAGCTCTGAACAAGGAATGGAAGAAGAAGTATGTGACCCTGACCAGCGACGGCAGGCTTACCTACCACCCCAGTCTGCACGTGAGTGTTGCTGTTGTGCCTGCCCTTACAGAACCTCCGGACAGGCTCAGAATGAAGGAATGTCCTCACAAAACACAATTTCATGTTGCACGCAACAAAACAGTGCGTCTGCTTAAAAACAAAGTTATATCCGCTTCGTCGTGTGCTCGCTATTTCTGCGAGGCGCGAAACGGCACAATTTTCAAATGCTGCCACTCGGTCGTTAGACGGGCAGGGAGGCGCCTCCTTTTCATAGTCTCCTCGTTTCTTGCTTTTGGGAGATTCGGGACGAACAACAGCTGCAGAGACCTCGATCTACAGCCGGCAGAGGATGACATTGGCTGCACCCTGCGGACCACGTCACGGGCTTGTTCCGAGGCTGCAAGCGAATGCCCAATCTCCCCCTCCATCAAGAAATTTTTCTACAGCAGATAGAAAACTGAGAAAAAATTTCGCTTTCCGCTAAAAGTTGCGAGCGATTGAAATCGCGGTAGATCGTGTCCTGCGCGGACAGGCCTTCGCCGGAGTTGCGTAATTTGAGTGGCCTCGCGCGTGAAGCTAGCCGAGCAGAAGTGAACACGTTTAAACAGAGAATTGCTCTCATTTCGCAGGACTACATGGAGGACGTGCACGGCAAGGAGATCCCGCTCATGCACACGACGGTCAAGATCCCGGGACAAAAGCCCCGGGGATCGAGGGTGGCGGGGTCCCAGGTCAACGACCTCACTTCCGACGTAGGCACCCTGTCTCTCGCCGGTGGTGAGTTACTTCCTTTCTTTCCCTTCCCGTCGTTCGTCTCGGCACGGAATGTGCATGGCCACAATCCTGCTTCAGTTTGAGAACTAACAGAGCACAATAAAAGTTCTGTGCCGCATCGTCGGTTTGGCCTAATGTTGTGCACTGCTTTGGTTATCTGCCCGAGCTTTGCTTTCCTGCGCTTGCTGTTTGCCTTGGCTCGTTGCATCCCCCTTCTTGTGTCGGCGTACGTTCCTCGTACATCCTTACCTGCTTCTTTGTGCTTTAGTGTCATAAAACGCCGCCTTTATTTTATTGAACCGCTTAGTAGAGCTATTGTCGATTGGTTTTCGGAAGGGCTGAGCTGGTTGAATTCTGCGTTGTTAGGGGTAGTTTGAGCCTAGTCGGTTCCTCTGACCAATGGCGTGCTGGCTGGTAGGCTGTGGTGCCCCACGAATGGTTGCTCTTAATTCTAGCTCGCTGTTGCGCTCTCTATCTTGACTAATGCACTAACTTAGAACTATTTTCATTTCTAAATCGCAGCTATTGCGGGTTACTAGGCTAGTTCCTCATGCATGTCCTCTGCCGTAAGATTTCGGTCTCAATGTTTACATAGGCCAATCGCAAGTTTCTGGTGCTTGAATATAGGACGCTCAAATTCTCGTTGCAATTTTCTGCCCGTAGACTAATCTGGGTAACTGAAGACCTTTATGCCGTAAGTATTTGTATTTGGTCTATACGTAACGGTCGATGGCCAGTCCTCGGTCTCCTGTAATTAGAGTAAAACCTCATTAATATGTGTTTCAGGGTCATCAGCCAGATTATGGCTAAGGTTTCATGTTTTAGTGTTTATTCTTGAAATCTTTTTTTTTTAAATCTGGAAGATCGTCCTAGTACGAAAAAGAAAGGGAAACGGGACAAGGGCAGTGCTTTCCGAAGAAAGCGACAACCTTGCGGATAGTTCGCTGTGGGCCATGTTTCGACTGGAGACGAAATAAAGATATTGTTAAAGGTTTTTTTCTGCGAAGAGAGGACTTCTCTTGGTCAAGGACAGTCTCAATTCGGGTTTTTTGGATTTTCTCTGATTTTCAGAAAACCTTCTCGGGGTTTATCGGTGCCTACTGAAAACACAAAACCCTAGATGAGGAATGTTTGATGAACTGTTAAAATTTATGGTTCAGTGATTAGATTGTCATTTTTATTTATTTATTTTATTTGTATGTTCATGCTGCCAGCATTCAATATACTCGCAAAGGTAGGGTGGCAGGCAATGCCACATATAATGAAAGACAAAATACATCAAACAATGCAACACACATATCAAACAAACAAATATATTGAACGATGCAAATACTCAACAAAAAAGTGCTTCAAGGGAAACTGACAGGTTATTTATGCTTGCCGAGGTTTTAGAGTGCAGCTCTTAAGCGCCCGTTTCTGGATGGAGCGCCGTCGCCGTCGGCGTAATAGACTACTTCCATAAAGCCCTGCATGCAACACGGCGCGCGTTGCACTCTGGGAACTAGTTGGCCAGGGAGGAGGGTGGCATGGTTTCGGTTTCGATCGACACGTCGACAAGAGATGGGTTTCTGGTCCCGAGAGCGTCATGTGTGGTCTCTAAACTAACGTAAATGGCCAGGCCTCGAAGCTTTAGCACAAGCCTGAGACGTATAGCTTGTCTTAACACATGCTTGTTGTATTTTTGTACTTGAGGCTTCCTGTTAGCGTTCCAATGGAGGTATGTGGACGAGCCAGTTCCGGGAATATCGACGCTGCGAAGCTCGGGGATCTTGCTTGTGTACGAATCAACAAGCTGTAGACACCAGTAAGTACGCATACATAGAGCTCGCGCCTTTATATATTTGTGTTGTTGGCCAGAAAGTTTGTTTGTTTCGTGCGTCCATAGACGAAATATTACTTTTTGCAAGTACTGTATTTCTTAATATGCCTGAGTATGCGAGGTAAAACTCGGAGGCGCCATTGAAAAGCTCAATTTTGACACACTTCTTATCTCTTATCTGTACTGACCCGCAGCACTGCACGAAGTCCCATCCCGCTTGCATTTCACTAATATTCAACATCGCGTATGCACATAAAGTTATCCTGCAATCATATAGGCAAATTCGCACATACAGACTGTTTTGAGAAAGCAAAAGTCGAGCACTTGTGTGAAGAATGTCGCACCGTTCCCCGAAAGTGCGCCGGACGGGCATGAACCCCCATGCGCGCACCGCATAGGGGTTCATGCCCGTCCGGCGCACGGTGCGACATTCTTCAAACAAGTGCTCGAACGAATTCAAAGCGCGTTTGACGGTTGCTAATGGCCATAATATTTGTTATGTGTTTGTTTTCTTCCTGCCTAAGTATGCCGAGATAATTTCAGACACACCGTTCAGGCGCAGATCTTAGGCTTCAGTAAAAGCTCGTCCAAAAAGGCTTAGCGAGGAGTAGGGGACGCTTGTTAGGGCCTCCGTCGTAGCTAGCCGATCTCAGCGTTTGCGAGAAGTTAATCTTCTACCAGCATAAAATTCGAGTGGGAGATATATGATGACACGAGGAAGACATCATAGTAACTTTTGTGCAGTAGTGAGGTCGAATTTATTGCGTTTCCTTAAAAGTTCATGCGTAAACGCTGGGCTCAACTTTGATACCCTGTGAGGATGCGGCTTTCTTTTCGCCCAATGAAGTAACAAGAAACGGACGTTTGGCAATCAAAATACGTATAAGGCTCCAGATGAACAAATTTCAGTTCTAGTTCAGTGGTACTAGACGGGATTATTGAAATTGAGCGCAAACATGCACTCGTGGGGTGAGGTGACTAAGCCACGTCTTACTACGTTCGCATACGCACGCACAATATCCGGTGTTTCGGGAACCAAGGAAAGTGCCCCGGTCTTCGTTTTGTATCGCTCGAGAATGATCGTGTATTGTACGTTCGTGAAAAGTCAGATAATCAAAAACGCAAGCAGCGCGTTCGGTCGCGGCGTGATAGCATGAGGTGAAGCTGCTCAGTCGAAATCGAAACTGAGTGGCCAACTAGTTCCCAGAGTGCACTGCGTGGTATTTCGCCGCGATGGGGCGCGTCGGTTTTGGAAGCAGTCCATTGCGCGTTGCTTTGTGGGACGTTTCATATAACGACGTCGCACGTGACGCCACCCAACCAGGGAAAATGTTTCCACTAAATTTAGCGGGGAAATTGACGTCACGTGACTTCAACAACAATTCAAGTTCCCCGCTAAATTGAGCAGAAAAATTTTCACTAAATTTTCTGGTAAATTTAGCGGAAAAATGGTAATAAATTTTCCTCTAAATTTAGCGAACATTTCCCGCTAATTGGGAGGGAAGCAGGAGAGGAGGAGGGGCGTACCCTTCCCTCCGTGCCTTCCCCTACTCCTCCTCAAGAGCAGCGCTCTAATTCGGCATTACAGAGAATCGTGAACGTATTTCATTTTTTATTTTAACATTACCTATAAGACCTCAACTACCCAAAACACAATTTGTGGCTCGAAACTAGTTTTCTCTCCCCCCGAAAACATTGCATCGACAATTGGCTGGTTTCCGTCTTGCTCTCTCTCTTTACTGTGGTCACGTGGCGTTAAAACTATGTGTTCCAAATACTATATTTAAAGTCGTGGGTCATCAAAATGCACATTCAATATTTAAAAAAAAAAAAGAAAAAATAAACACTATTTTTGGGGTTTCCAAAAAGCTATTTTTTACACTATTTTTGGGGTTTCCAAGAAGCAAAAATAAATGTTGCGCAGATCACGGGAAGCATGTACACATCATTCTCAATATGGCGACGTACCACTGGATGGACGACATGATGGTGGGGCACGACAGACCAATGTTGCGATGGACGTGGGGCCGCTACTTTGGAACTGTTGTTCGTGGTACCGGCCAAACGATCTTCATGTACCGAACATCAGGTGGAAGGGACGCAACTGCGAAACAATCGCATGACAAACGGTGCACATAATTTCGTCTGCTTCACATGCCAAAAAAACAACAAAAAAAAAAAAACAAAAAAGAAAAATAATGCGGTCAGAAGTTGCGTGTAGCCATGCGACTTTTGGCCATGAGTTTCCATGTTCATAATTCGGTTTCGAGCAGTTGGGTTTTTTTGGCTCTATTAATGAATGAATGAATTAAGGCAAGACATTGATTCAGCTCTGTATGATCAGACAGTTTGCTTCCGCACTAAATGAAGGACACAATCATCGGTAAGAAAGCGGCATTAACGTAATATTGTCTTAATGTAACGACTGGGCAGACCCGATAATCGGAAAGGTACAGTAAATGAATGCATAACCACAAAGGGGAACTGTGACGGGACTGGCAAATGTGATTGTAAAAGCGACAAAAATAAAAGTACAAATCTGGAAAGCATTAGTGCGTGGGTTCGAAACTGGGTTCCTAAGAACACGGGTGCTCCCCAGAAAATCCTCCGGGGTTCTTGAAAATCAAAAAATTTTCTCGGGCGTGCCTACCCTCGAGTAAATTGTTTATGCAGCTTCGCACTATTTTAGCGAATCTAAGCTACCCATCGGTGCATAGCTATAAGCCAAACAATCCCTAGTATGTTTTATACTGTTTGCAAGCTCTGTAGGCTCCTAAGCCGCTTTACTGCATCAATGCCGTGACCGGAAGGGGTGTTCCTTAATTGAGGGAGGACGGCTACCCAGAAAACAAAAATCGTACGAAAAAGTCGGAAGACACCTAAGCACTTTTTATGAGTTGTGAATGCGAAAGCTTGAATATCCAATGGAACGCCGTGGAGTGACCTGTGGAGTTTTGAGGCGCGAGTAATGTTTTCAAGTTGTGGCAGAAGCACCGGTGACGATGTCGATGCTAGAGGCGGCGCCATGTTCGTCGTCGGCGAGACGAGCAGAAGCACCGCCGACAACGTGGATGATGGAGGCGACGGCATGTTGGTCGGCGGCGAGACGTGCAGAAGCCTCCGAGCGCGCGCCAACGTGTCCGTTTTAACTGGCGCGGGGCCCGTAGTGGCATGGGGTTGCGGC